AGGAAGAAGTAACAGTAAATTCATCCAAACTACCCAATCGCGTGGGCCTCTGGATTTTGGCCAAGCATTACAGTGATCCTGCGACATTTGCACTTTTTCCAAATATAAACTTTTCCAGGATAACAACTGCAGGAAGGCCGATGCTGCCGTGTCAAAAGGCCCCCAAGAACGTTATATCAAGTTATTTTTCACGGGGTATAAATTTATACCAGGGTGCAAACGTTGCGGGATCACTGTAGTGTGAACCAAGCCGCACACGACTATGGACAAGGGCATAGTTGGAACAATGGCGAATGCGAGATGACTATGCCTTCCTTTCTTGTTCCTGGTGGATGGAGAGCAAGCTTAGTCAATGTCGCACCGGCAGGAGACGCCACAGACGAGGGGATCCTGTCGTCCAAGACGCCATGTATTTCAGTGCATCACATCAAACTTGCACACATGCAAATGGGATGCGGCAGATTCACCTTGGTGATGTCGATCGTTGTGCTCAGGAAGGCACTGGTGCATTTTTCCATCAACAGCGGCACAAAGGTGTTCCAGGTCAGATACCTATACTGTAGCCGTGTGCAGCATCACGCGCGCATGATCTTGCCGAGGACAAGACCAATCAGTTGAAGTCACCGGCAAACGAATGTGACAGGTACGACTGGCTGCGGACTGGGCCACGCAGCCATGGAGGTTGAGCGCCGAGGTGTGCCGACGCTCGAACGATCCAACAATCGCCTCTACCTTACCCCCACGGGATTGAAACTCGTGGACGGCCAGAGCAATTCCGGGGTTAGCTGAAGCACCCGTCAGCCATGCGCTCCATTTCCACAACCTACGGGCGTTCATCTATTTTGCCACTTGGACGACATGCACGTTGTAACCTGACAATGCGACACTCGGAAGCAGTGCACGCCTGATTAACTTGTACAGCAATTAGAATGGTCGACTGGCAGAACTCTACTGACATTCGAACCAGGATCTTCCTCTAGCGGTGGGAGGTCACCCGACGATGTGGGGTTCTATTTGCGTCGACCTAGTCCATGCCCACGGCAGATGATCACTCGGGAGGTATTCACCTTGACAAACACAAAGCACCACTCTCTTTCGCCTCATTTTCCAATTGACACCATGAAGTTCGCACTTGTCTTCGCCACTGTCGCCGCCGCCATTGTTGCCCAAGACGAAGTTGCCCCGAACAACAAACCCTTCGAAATCGTCGGCGGTCATGAAGCAAAGGTCGGCCAGCACCGCTACCTCGCCGGCCTCAAGCCCTCGGACACTTCCGCGAGCTGGTGCGGAGGTAGCTTGATTGCCTCCAACACCATCTTGACCGCGGCGCACTGCACCGGCAAAGGCTTGAAATTCGCCGTCGTCGGGACGCACCACTTGTCGGGGGCGTCCGACGGCGAGTCGGCCAGGGTCATCAAAGAGATCCGGCACCCCCAATACTCGAACTTGACCAGAGCCTACGACATGGCTGTCCTCATCTTGGACCGCAACATCACCGGCATCACGCCCGTCCCCGTGTCGTTTGAGACTGTGTCTGCCAACGTCGAAACGTGGGTCCGTGGCTGGGGCAGTACGTCAGGCAGCGGCACCCAGTCCAAGGTACTCAAGGAAGTGAGCGTTCTGACGTGGGACAGTGCGCAGGCCTCGATCGCATTGGACAGCACTCTTGACGACTCGATGTTGGCTGCCGGCGGCGAGGAGGGTGAAGACGCGTGCCAAGGCGACTCGGGTGGCCCGCTGACGATCGAGCAGAACGGAGCGGCGCGCCTTGTTGGCGTGGTGAGCTGGGGTTTCGGCTGCGGCGAGCTAGGCATGCTTGGCGTGTATGGCCGTCTGAGCGCCGCGCGCGCCTTCATCGAGCCGCATTTGGCAAAGAAGAACTTGTGCGTGTCGTACGTGGTCGGGGAAGAAGCTAAAGTGGCCGACGTCGGGACGACAGAAGTCGTGGAAGCGGATGATTTGATGGTGGACACTGAAGGTTCTCCGGCGATGGAAAGCAGTAACTAGATTGCCAACATTTTGTTGTCGACACAACTTAGATACCGACATTGTTTTCATGAATTTGTAGAATGTCGGGGTTGTTTTCAAGCGAATGTGACTGAATGATGAGACCGCCTCAAATGTGCGAGGCGGATGGAGAGTGTCTGACTGTGCCAATGCGTGCAACGAGACATGGTTGTATTTTATGTCGAGGAGTCTGTGGCAACGTGAATTCACATGAGGGCGTAGTGTACTTCAACTTCACTTAAATCCCACACATCACAAAATTTAATTGATCGAGTTTTGTCCTCGACATTCGAAACTCACAAACGACACGTCATATAGTCAGACCTCAACGAGAGGTAAATTGTTTGTTACGTCAAAGTCGACCGTGAGACAACGATCAAGTCGCTCGAACGTCGCCCAAGCACAACCAAGGGAAAATCGGGTAAATTAGTCAAACCTAACAAGAAACACAAGTTTTACCGACAGAGCCGCAAGCGAATTTTTGACGACGTGACGTTGTCGTTTTGCACGACTGATGAAAAACACATGTAGTCATTCCATGTACTGCAGGCTTGTGTGCCTGAAAGCCTCGAGATTTGCTACAGGCCATGCGAAGGTCCTGCCGTCTCTACGCTCATTTCATCGCTGCTATTACTAAGTGTACAAAGTAGTATATGCTTAAAAGAAGTACAAGAGCCACCGACGCATTCCAAAGCTATTGTCAGAAGACTAAGTCAAGTTGTTTGTGGAAATAATGGTATCCCTTCCAATTGAGTACTTCCTCCGTTCCCGAAAGATGGTACGAATCGTACAAGTGCAAATTGACAATGTAGCCATTCGAAAATATTCTCTTAAATGGTTCAAATTTCGTAACATTTTGAAAAATATTTTGACTTCCCCATTTCGGTAGGTGGAACGTTCCGGCGGCTGACGTGCACCGTAGTAGTGTGTGCACAAAATGCCACTTTCGAGCTATTGCTCTGCTTCAGTTTGCTCTACGAATTCAACCGGAAGTTGCATTTTGTATGCGCCCTAAGAGCTCTACCATCTACTTCTGTTGTCCTAGCGATGGCGCGTCACGAGGCAAATTCAGAGCTAGAGTTGATGCATTGACCGAACGCGATGCAATTACGTCGGCGGTGGATGCTGAAAAGGAGACGAGGTCTTCCCAAAATATTGCGAGTTGGAGCAACATGGTTGACATAGGACCCAGCAGCTACCACATTCAACACAGCACGGGTCGAATTGACACATCATTTATCTCTTACATGGAGTATGCGCCTACTCATTGTAGGGCACCCTCCAGCAACTGTACATGAACACCAACATAAACACATGACAAACCCATGAAACCAATGTCGATATCTAAGTTGTGTCGACTGGTAAGCAAAATGTTGGCAATCTAGTTACTGCTTTCCATCACCGCGCAACTTCAGTGTCCACCATCAAATCATCCGCTTCCACGACTTCTGTCGCCTCGACGTCGGCCACTTTAGCTTCTTCCCCGACCACGTACGGCACGCGCTAGTTCTTCTTTGCCAAAT